TACTCATTTATGGAGGTTTCTCCATAGAATCAACTCCTACTATTTGTAAGTGTTGCACAATATCCCATTTTATAGATGGTTGATTTATTCAACAAGCCCTGGGTTCTTCAACATTGAATCTTTCTCCATTTTTTTTTTGGTACCAGGTTTTGAACTTGGGACCTTGTGCTTTCGAGGCAGGTGGCAGAACCACTGAGCTAAATCCCTGGCCCTCTCCATTTTTATTATAAATTGTGCTGTGGTGAACAAATCTTGTACAAAAAATGGTCACAATATTTTGTAGTCTTCCAACTAAGAAGTAGAGTCTAGACTGGGTGTGGTGCATGCCTGTAGTCCAACCACTCTGGAAGGCTGAGGGAGGAAGATTCTAATTTTGAGCAAAGCCCAGGCAACTTAGTGATTTAGTGAGATCCTAGCAAAAACAAAACAAAACTACTACCTAGAGATGTAGCTTAGGATGAAGACCCAAGTACTGCTGGGGGTGGGGGTGGGGAGTTTATTTTCCATCCCTGAATCTGAGCCTGAGTATGTGACTTGCTTTGCCAAACAGGGACATTAGCAAATAAAAGATTTTTATGTTGTCTAGAATCCTGAGACTACTTCATGAAGAAGCCATGGAGAAATTACATAGAAACAGGGCTCAGACATCCAGCCAAAGCCCAAATACTAAATGAGACCATCCTAGGTCACCCTAGACCATCCAACTCCTGTTAAGCTGGCCCAGTCCTGAAGAACCACCCAATCAACCCACAGAACATGAAAAATAAATGTTTGTTATTTTAATCCACTAAATTTGGGATGATTTGTTATGGAGCAAAAGCTAATTGGATAATGATTATTTCCTAGAACAGTTTCCTAGAAATAGACTTCTGGGTCAGGGTGTGCACACTTTGATGCTTTTTGATTCATACTTCTAAAAAATGTTGTATCAATTTGTAAACCACCACCAGTTAAGAGAGTCCCCATATCCCTTTCTGAACACTAATGCTTCCTGTTACCATCATGACTACGTTGTGCTTGTAAATTTAAGAGTGAACTGTTAGTTCTCTCTCAATTCAGAATCAAGTTAGGGAAACAAGGACAAAATAAAAAGTCAGAGCACAAAGGTGAGAAAAATAGGAGAATAGAAAAACAGTGATAAACACAAAAGAAAACACAAAAGTGTTTTCACAAAAAACCACGAAGGAAAACACAGAGGAAAGAAAATAGAATTATACAGTAGGGCCACTTCTAAGCCTCTTATACATGCACTTAACATGTAGTCAGGAATAGTTATGGGCCTAAGAAATGATTTTGGTCATGAAAGAGGCATGAAAGAGACTGGGCATGGTGGTGCATGCCTGTAATCTCAACACTTGGAAAGCTGAGGCATGAGTTCGAGGCCAGCCTGGACTACGTAGGGAGGCCCCGTCTCAACAAACAAAACAATACAATACAAAACAAAACAGAATGAAAGGAAGAAAAAGAAAGAAAGGGAGGAAGGGAGGGAGAGAGGCATAAAAAGAAAATGTTCATTTAGGTCAAACCTAGTAAAATCTGACAAAGCTATAAACAATGCTAAAGCATCCCAGGGTTGTAATAACACTGTAAACATTTAATTATCTGAAATAGAGATAATTGTTTCCATTTTAGGGGTGAGGAAAATTAAGTCAGAGCTTTCAAAGGACTTGATAAAGATATCAGCTGGTAGAGAATCAAGCCTAGATTTTGATTTTTTTTTCTAGTACCAGGGATTGAACTCAGGACCTTGCACTTGCCAGGCAGGCGCAGCGCTACTGAGCTACATCCCTGGTCCAAGCCCAGATTTGAGTCCAGGATTGCCAGGCTTGAAAACTAAGGTGTTTCTTTTACGTACTCTTCCTAGAGGGGACGTGACAAAAGACTAGAACTAATACTGGGTGGAAGAATAGCCTCTTTTTTTGTTCATATTGCTTAACTTTACAAGTAGGAGTCAGATGCCCTGGCTTTGAACCCAGCTTTGGCACTTCCCAGCTGTATGGCCTCTCCCTGCCTCAGTTTCCTCATCTGTAGAACAGCTTCATAAGTATCACGAGGGCAAATGAGTACACAGATGTTAAGGACCTAGATCAGTGTCTGGCACATAGCAGTGCTTCCTAAGTAAACTTCCTATTTCTGGTATGGTGTTACCGAGGCCATAGGACTAATTCTGATGATCCTGCTGCCATGAGGTCCTTACCCAGTAGCTGTGGTTACAGACTGTCTTAGTCACTTTCTTTGTCGCTTACACACAGTTCCCAACACCCACAACTTAAAGGAGGAAAGGTTTATTTTGGCTCACAGTTTGCAGAAGTTTTGGCCCATAGTCACCAGGCTCCTAACAGTCACTGTGGAAGGGCTTGGGAGGAGGAAAGCTGCTTACCGCACAGCATCCCGGAAGCAGCAAGTGAAGGGAGGGGTCAGGGAGGGAGATACACCTTCCCAGGTCACACCCCCAGTGACCCACCTCTTCCCAGCATGCCCCACCTCCTCACAGCACATTCAGCTAATCCACTGCTGAGATAGTATCCCCAAGATCCACTCACCTCCCAAGAGCCCTGCTTAAGAGTCCATGAGGCTCTTGGTGGTCATCTAGATATAAAGCCTGACACAGTCACATGGCCATGTCATGGTAGAGTTTCCCCTGGGGCAGGACTGAGACTACTGCCGTGTTTCTCCTACCCAGTTTTGTGGAGGAAGGTGGAGCGTGTTGTGACCCCGCATCCCCATCTGAGTGAGCATGAACAACTCCAGAGGGTGGTCCCGAGTAGGCCTTCCTGGGAAGTAGGCCTTCCTGAGGGCTTGCTCCCTCAGACCCCGGCATAGCTAGATGTGAAACTAACCTAGCACCCATCTGCATCCCCTACAGGCATCCTCTAGTCTTACAATTCGTGTTTCTAGCTATAAGATTTGAATAATAATAATTAAAATGAAACAATGATAACACACCAAGTGCCCTTTATGTGCTGGCCCGTCCAAAACACTTTACAAATACTGTTTCGTTCAGTTCTCAGAACAACACTTTGAAGTAGGTACTGTTCTTATTTCCATTTCACAGGTAGGAAACTGAGTCTGGGTCCAGACTCTTTCATCTTCACTGTGACACTGGTCTGTTTTTTGTTTGAGAATATGCAATTTTGGGGTGGAAAGATGCCCAAGAAGGCAATCCAACACTTGTCAGCCTGATCCATTCATCTTCACCCTTTCTCAGCCACGGGAACATTCCATGCTAGAACCACTTGCAGCACAATGTCTGAGAACTAGGGTAGGAGTGAGGAAATGCATTATGTATTTGCTACCACTTCAAGTCTTCTCAGGTCGATTCCTCTGTGTGCGGAGAGAGGAGGATGGGGCTGACTCTTTCCCTGGTTGTAAAATACACCAGGCTCTCTTGTGACAACACCAGGCCTGATTAAGGAATGACAATATGGAAGGCAGATGGCAGATGCATGGATGCCACACTATCGCTTCAGTTAAATATTGCTTGGGCTTTTTTTTTTTTTTCCTTCCTTGTAAACCTCCCAAATAAAATCGTGTGGTTTCCCCAAGTTAGAAGTGTTAGCACGTCTTTTCTTTAAATATCCGTGCATGGCTGTTTTTTTCCCTGCCAGTTTGTCACCATCTGTAACCCTCCCTTTAGGAGATGAACCGCTGACAGCGATTATCTTGGAGAGTGAAAGTGTGGACTTGGAGACATGTTAAGGGTGGAGTCGGTCAGAGTGGGCTGTGTGTGTAGTGTACCTGCCCCTGCTCTCAGTGTGTGTGCGCGGTGTGTGTGTACCCGGGGCAGTGCCGATGCGTTGTGTGTGGACACATTGTGAGCGTGCAGGGTGGACACACGTGTCTGAATGTGCATGGACTGCGTCGTTGGGCCTCGTGCTTGCCTGGGTACCCCGGGTCTGTGTGCCCCGTGTAGGCCTCCTGTGGATGGCTGTTGGGGGGCGCTTTGTGCTCTGGGTGCGCACTGAAGCAGGGCCATGCCAGCTCCTGGAGGAAGATGTCCCTCGGAAAGGCATCATTTCTCTAAGGTGCTTAAAGCGACTGGGCGGGCCCTGCAATTTGGAGAATTGGGGCAAGGACTATGAACGGCCCGAATCCAAGGCAAGAGCGCCTCTGAGATGGAGGGGTCCCCGCAGGGCTCAGGGGCGCCGGTGGCTGGCGGGCCGCGCTCCGCCCTCTCCACGCTCCCCACCCCCGGGCGCCGCGCCGCGGGGGAGGAGGACTCGGGCGGCGGCCGGGCGAGATGGCGCACGGTGGCCGGGCTGGGGCTGCGGCCCCCGAGGGGGTCCCCGGCCCGGAGCCCTAAGGCGCCGCCCGGCCCAGCTCCACCATGAACGTCGCGCTGCAGGAGCTGGGCGGCGGCGGCAGCGTGAGGGGGAGCCGTGCTGGGGGGGGGGGGGGGGGGGGGGGGGGGGGGGGGGGGGGGGGGGGGGGGGGGGGGGGGGCGGCGGAGGGGTCGGGACCGGGCAGCGTCTGGCGGGGCTGTGGGCGCCCAGGCGGCACTGCGCGCCGGTGGGGCGGGGGGCGCGCGTCCCGGAGACCGGGCCGCGGCCCGGCAGGTGGGCAGGGCTGGGCCCGCAGCCCTCGGCCTGACCCGGGGCGCCCCGCACTTCTGGCAGATGATGGAGTACAAGCGCGCCACGCTGCGGGAGGAGGACGCCGCCGAGGTGGGCGAGGGGGTTCCCCCTTCCTCACCAGGCCCCGGGCCCGGCCTGACGCCTGGCACACCCGGCCCTGGGCTGTTCTGGAGGGCCGCCTGCCCCCAACTCCGCTCCTTCCCTGGCCTCTGCGCTAGGACCATGGTGAGGCGATTCTAAGCCATGACGCTGCACAAAACAGGTCTGCCTCGTTGCCCCGGGCCCGAGTTAACCCCACGAGCGGGCGGGCGGGCGGGCGAGCCAGGCTCTGGAAGCTGCCTGTATCTTCACCCTCCGGGAGGACGGCTGTAACTTGAGAGTTCCCTGCTCAGCAGCTCAGACGCTGTCTGCCCCCTCTGCTCCCAGGTGGGATTCCGGAAGGGGACAGCACAACTCTTGGGCTGGCACACACAGCTGGAGCTGGCGTTGGTGGGCGTCTCTCTACTGCTGGGGGCGCTGCTTCTGGGCTGCCTGGTGGCCCTGGGGGTCCAGTACCACAGAGGTGGGTGGGCCCCGACCTGTCACCGTCCCTTGTAGCTGTGAGAACTCTGGAGCTTGAGGGCGGCTATGATTTCCTGTGGCTGGGGCCAGGCTTCCCAGGCTTCTACAGTCCCGGCCCTTCCCGTAACTGACAGTCTCCTGCCCTCTGGCCACTTCCCCTGCCACAGACCCATCCCACAGCACGTGTATCACGGAAGCCTGCATTCGAGTGGCTGGAAAAATCCTGGAGTCCCTGGACCGAGGGGTGAGCCCCTGTGAGGACTTTTATCAGTTCTCCTGTGGAGGCTGGATTCGGAGGAACCCCCTGCCTGATGGGCACTCTCGCTGGAACACTTTCAACAGCCTGTGGGACCAGAACCAGGCCATACTGAAGCACCTGCTCGGTGAGTGGGTCTAGCACCGGGCCTAGCACTTAGTAGGTGCTCAATAAATGTCCATGGGAGAGGAAGCAGGTGAGGGATTGCTCTGTGAGCACTCTTGAGGAAGGACATGCAGAGAGTGGGGGCTTTGAGGGGCAGACTTCTGAGTGCGATGGAGTTGTGGTGATGCTGAGACAGATTGGAGAGGGGCCTATTGGAAGGGTCTGCTGCTTCAGGGAGTCTTGCTGGGTCCACATGAGGAGACTGCTCCCTGGCAGGGTGAGGAGAGGGACCGGGGCTGGGTCTCCCCCTTGGAAGTTAACCTGTGGGCCCCCCGCACTCCATGCTCCGCCCTGCAGAGAACACCACCTTCAACTCCAGCAGTGAGGCAGAGCGGAAGACACAGCGCTTTTACCTGTCCTGCCTGCAGGTGGAGCGCATTGAGGAGCTGGGCGCCCAGCCCCTGCGGGACCTCATTGACAAGGCAGGGCTGCTGGGTGGTCGGGGGCAGGGGGAGTGGGAGGGGCTCTGGGAAGAGGCCTTGGTCTGAGCAAGCTTGGAGGGGCCCCCAGGCCAGAGCTTCCACTTCTGATCTCTACTCAGATTGGTGGTTGGAACATTACCGGTCCCTGGGACAGGGACAACTTCATGGAGGTGCTGAAGGCAGTGGCTGGGACCTACAGAGCCAACCCCTTCTTTGCAGTCTACATCAGCACCGACTCTAAGAGTTCCAACAGCAACATCATCCAGGTGCTGCACTGGGGATGCAGGGGCTGCGGGGGATCCTTTCGGACCCTCCCCAGCCCAGGAGTCCAGGGCCTGGGGGTGGCCAGAGGGGACTCAGCTTCTTTCCTTGCCATTGCAGGTGGACCAGTCTGGGCTCTTCCTGCCCTCTCGAGATTACTACTTAAACACAACAGCCAATGAGAAAGTAAGGAGCTGAGAACCCCATTCCCAGCCCTTTGGAGCTGGGCTGATCCCCATATACTTTTCTCTTTGCCCAGGGTCAGAGTGGGGAAGGTGAACCCATCTTGTTACCTAGTGAGCTGATTGCTCTTTCTGCCTTCTCGTCCTTCCTTCTTTCCTTCCTCTTATTCTCCCAAGAAAACTTCCCCCTCCTCTTCTTTCTTCTTTCTTCTTTTTGTTTTTTGATAGTGCTGGAGATTTAAACCCAGGCCTGCATGCATGCTAGGCAAGCGCTCTACCACTGAGCTGCCCTCTGCCCCTGGCAAGCATTTTACAGGCTCCCACTGCATCCCAGGAGCAGTGGGGATTCTGAGGTGTGAGTTTCAGAGATGTTGTCACAAGAAGCCGGCAGTGTTGACTGGCATGCACACAGCCAAGAGTGTCACTCCAAAGAGGGTCTCTGGGACTCAGGAGAGACTTGGGTATCCAGAGATGCTTTCCTGAAGAGACCAAATTTGAGTCAGGTCCTGTAGAATATATAGGGGCAAAAAAGTCCAGTCTGTGAGGAGAGAATGGGTTAAACAAGTGTTGAAGAGAGAAAGGTAAGGTGTGTTCCAACCATGTCTGGTTTGGTGAGAGGGGGTGCTCAAAGCAGATGGGAGGCCAACTATTCAGGAGGCTGAGGCAGGAGGATTGCAAGTTTATGGCCACCTCAGGTAATTTAGTGAGGCCCTGTCTCAAAATTTAAAAAAAAAATTTAAAAAGGAATGAGGGCACCGGGGATTTAGCTCAGCGCTTCCACTGCCTGCCTCGAAAGCACAAGGTCCAGAGTTCCATCCCTGGTACCAAAAATAAAAAAATAAAATAAAAAGGAATTAAGGGCTGGGGATTTAGCTCAGTGGTTCCGCCGCCTGGCTCACAAGCTCAAGGTCCTGAGTTCAATCCCTGGTACCAAAAAAAAAACAAACTAAGATCAACTTGGGCTGGGGATGTAGCTCAGTGGTTTTGCCGCCTGCTGCGCAAGCACAAGGACCCGAGTGCGATCCCCGGTACCAAAAAAAAAAAAAAA